ATATATATATATATATATAATATATTACAAAAATAAAATTATTAATTAAAAATTGTTTCGAAATCTTATATAAATTATAGATTGTCTAAACGGGCTTAAAAGCGTGACTATGTAACATTGCTGATTTTCTTCGATCGTTTGTAACTCGAAAATAATCGAGACTTCGATATTTTTATAAGAAAATTTTCGATTTTAATTATAACGTTCTTAAAATAATGAAAATATTCTATATATTAAAAATAAATCGTGACAAAATAAAACATGCAAAGATCTAATAGAGATTGTAAATATTTTAAGGGAGATAAAGAAATTTAATATATTAATAATATCGATATCAAAAGATAATGTTACTTTATATAAATTAAATAATCGTCGTTATAACTGTGTTAATTATGTCCATAACATTCCAGGTTGATGTCGAAACAAAATAAAAGACAAACATTTACAAACATTAAAGTACTCACATTAAATGGTCTTCTCAATAATAACACTCAATGCTTCGAATCTTAATTTTCCATTAGCTTCCTTTTGAATACCAGAGCGAAAAGTTCAACGTGAATAACATGAATAACCAATTCGCCTTGCATAATACTCCTTGCGTCGTAATACGTGTAACCTGGATGATGTACGGCAGTAAATTGCACGAACTTGTTTGAAATTTCGTAGATGCCATCCTCCTAATTCCATGTACAACGTATCATCTACGTGGATCAATTAAATTGTCTCGTTTAGTATTTTCTTCGCAATGGAAATTTTGACGGAAAGTTAAATTTTATTCGCATTAATATGCCTTATATCGCATTTTTAAATCACGAAGAAGCTAAAATTATTCACTATAAATTCACTATAAATATCGGATCTACAATAATATGTGTCAATATTTAGAATATTTCGCAATTAATAGTACAACTGTAAACTTAGAATTTAAGATTATAAATATCCAAGTAATGTAATGTTTAATTTATTGAAAATAATTATTTAGCACTGTCAGCATCGCAACCAATGGTGGCAAAAATTTAATCCAGCTAGTAATCCAGTAGGAAAATGAGCATTGTGCTGTCAGATTTTATACTTAAAAACGATTTTAATACTTTTATATTAAAAAAGGGGACATTTTAAGTTCAATTGTAATACAAAATAAATTGCATATTTAAACACAAAAGTAAAAGAAAAAAAATACATAAAAAAATCCTAAAAACATAAAAACATGTATTTAATATTAGCAAAAAACTAATCACTAGATCATTATTATTATATTATATTTTAACAATGTGTGATGGGCTTAATAATTTCTGGTTTTTTTCTCCCTCTTTTTTTCTCTCTCAAAATAAGAATAAAAAATTACTCCTCGGAAACGCTGAAAATCCGGTCAAACATTCCCGAACGTCTGGGTAGCGATATTACTTTTTCCCTGAGATGGAAACATAAAAAGTAAAAATTTTTTTTATATGTGTATGACAGTGTTCAAAATTTACTGCCAGTAATTTACTGAAAGTCTATAGTTTATGATTATTACAGATTTCACTATTTTGCCCTTTGCGAGAAGAAATGAAGTCCTGATATTCGAATATTCGAATCGACTTTCGATTTCGCCGCGCGTTTCACTTAACCTAACCGATTATGAACATATTTCTCCCCCCAAATTCGCGAAAACTTCGAAATGTCATGGATCATTCTGATATTTTTTGGGATGAAAATAGAGAGAACTCACATTCAACACCGATATTTTCACCGTCGCCTTCCTCGACGACCACTTCTCGCGCGTGTTCGGCGATGTGCCGCGCCATCAGCCACTGCATTATAGGCACAGAATCCACCGTCATGACGCAAGTTATGTTAGTCGTCGATCGCTCTGCATTGTTAATTGCTTCGACGAGACAACGATCTTCACGATCGTGGGCATGAACGGGCGCGACATGATGTTCATTCTTCGCCCACGTCGTTTACACACCCGAATCTATCACGATCTATTCGCGCTTATCAAACACCGCCATAATAACATACTCCACTGCACTGGACTGCACTTCCGCTCCCAGCCTTCAAATTCCATTTCCGTGCGTTCCGTCGAGTGACGCTGCGCATCCCGCTCTTTTAAAGGCTGTGTTCCAAAATCACTGTAAGCACTGAAAATCTATAGGCTGTGTTCAGCAAACTCAACAGTTGAGTGAGCGCTCGCTATTGGTGTATTCTTTTAGATCATTCAATCAGAATTTTAGATCTGGAAGAATACATCAATGCAGCGAGCGTTTACTCAACTTTTGAGAACGCAGCAATGCTTCGAAACGTTTAAAAATGTACATAATATATTTTATATAATAAGAATTAGCCGACCAACGCTGGAAAATTAGATAGAAACAAACTTTTTAGCATCAACTATAGGTAAAAATACATAGAGTGAACACTAAACGTAAGTGCGCATGAGCACTTGAAAGCTTCTGATTCGCTCTTATATTGACCAAATTAAAATGGCGGTGATCAATTGGTGTCTATGCTTCACAGCGGAGATGCCCATTCCAGTGTATATATAGTTCAGTGGCGACAACCGATTTTTGTTGAAATATTAACGCATATTACGAAGTATGTAAAATAATATATTCTTTACACTTTTAATTTTCTCTGATGAATAAGCTTTATTGCACGGTTTTTGCTTTATTTTTTAGATTTGTTACGCATTTACACAACTCATGAATATCTTAATTCAGTTGTATTACAATAAGTGATTATTAATTTGTAATAACCCGGGAAAGAATATTAATTATATATATGAACAGATTTTGTATATAATTATATATGAAACATTTTTTCCCGGAAACTTTATGTTATACAAAATCCGCGTAATGTACACAATATTTGGAAAAGAGAGATTTCCTGTTTTTTTGTTACTTTTGAATCGTTGAATTCTGTCGTATATACATCTTATTCTGTATTCTTAATCTAAGAAAAGTAATAACTAAATTATATTCAAATTCACAATGCAATGTGAATTTTGTTGAATAAGCATCAACTTAAAAATATGATACCAGTTGAAATAAATCAATGTGTAACTGCATAATACTTATTTAAAAAACAGGTTTAACTTCTTGATACAAATAATACGTTGAACAATTTTATATTCCATCTCTAAATAAAAGACATAGATATGCAGAAGAAAAAGTAATAGGAAGTTAGGATAACATACAAATATAAAAAGAGGAGTTATAAAGAATTAAATCCATTTTTCTTTTTCTATTATGCAATTTCAGTATAGCCTTTTTAACTATCTGTTTTTGTATACTTTATTATATTTCTTTCATAATATCCAAAAATAAAATAGTATAAAAAGTAAAATAAAATATATATATACATTTATATTATATACATATGTGTATGTACACATACATACACTAGTGTACATATACATATATACATACGCATCACACATGTAATTTCAAAATATAATTATCTAGTTTTTTATATTTACATTAAACAATTTCCATCCAAAATTGACAATCGAAAAATACATAATTATTGTGTTCAAAAACGAGTCACTAATTTGATATTGTACAGAATACAATATTTTTTTTTTTTTTTAATAATTTGAAATGCAGAAGTTATTAGAACAGAAAAATTATAACTTTTGATCAAATAATTATATTTTGAATAATTACAAAATATTAAAAGAAACTTTGTATTAAAAAGATCTTTAGTGAAGTCCTTAAAAAATTTTTAGCAAAATGTTTTACTAAAAGAAACATTTTACTAAAGAACTTATTTGATGATAAGAATCAATTTTATCAGTCTTTGAATTATTATAGTAAAATGATTCGTTAATGATTTTACAAAAATATACGAAAGACAATTTTTACTCAATGAACACAAAATTATATATAACGTAATTATTAGTTGTAATTTCCCACTCAATAATACAATTATAATATAACACACATATAATATATTTCGTTTTTATATTATGGTTATTTAGTGGAAAATTACACAGGTACGTTACATGTAGCTTGTGTTCACTGGGCGTCTTGCATCAATCACTCACGGTGAACTCACGGTGATGTAATTGTTCTAATTATTTTAATACATTGTAGTTCTAATATAATAAAATGGTACTGTTTCCATCAAATGATCACTATTCTTCATTTGATAATGGAATATGAAATTATCGACTATTGTTAAAATATGAGACATCCGTGTGTTTTGAGCGGTCATGCGTCCTGTGTATTCCGCGCACATTTTCCGTACTTTATCACACACCATTTGAATTGCATATATCAAGCAACATCGTATTTGCAATTCCTCTATATCGCCGTGACGTAACATTATACAATCTGAGAAAAAGAATAAGTTTTATTATAATACAAACCTTCCATAATAAAAATTAATTGGGACTAAAAAAGATTCTCTCTACCCAAAAATTTAAATTTACACACTATGTAAAATGTCAATAGCCAATATATTGATAAATTCATGTGAAATTATAAAATCTTAATAAATCTTCCTTCGCAATAAATGTTAAGTAAATCATAAAATAAATAGGATAGATCATATAATGCTTGTTGTTAAAAAATTACTTGTATTCTAAATACATACAATACTGTATTGCATTACGACAATTTAAATGTTGTACAGGTCAGAAAATTTTTTTATTTACATCCATCCGTAATATAGACTTTAATTGAATCAACAACATTTTTTCTCGGTGTAAAAAGTGATTTTAAAAAGTGATAAATATCTTACTTCTCAAAAGAAACTGGAGACTCTCTGTATACCGAATAACTCCAAAATGTAAAAGAACTTGAGCGGCACGGTAATCCTTTAATAATGTAGACGTTTTTATTGAACTTTTTGAACTAATAGGAAAGTAAGTTTGTAAATCACTTATTAATAATTTGGCCTTAGTACAGAGGCGAACTAAAAGAAAATTCAATAAAATGAATTTATTAATACAATCTATGTAAAATATTATTTAAATAATTTTAGTACAAAGAGATCACATCATTATATAGCAATTATTATTTCACAGGTACATTTAAAGTTTAATTCTTATTTTATGAACTTCAATTATTATTAAGACAATTCAAATATGTCCAGAAACACAATAGATATTTTGTAATGCTTGCGTTCAAATATGTCCAAGCATAATAACTTCAAATATATTAATTTAATGTCATATTAAATTAAATATGAATGTATTGATATAAAAATTCTGTGAATCTATAATATCGCATATTGTTGAATAGTATAATCCCTAACAGCACAAGACGTCCTTAGTATGATCCTGAATACATTGAGGACATATATAGAATATGTTTAGAACATTATGAAAAATACAAATTTTATTTAAGTAAAAACTAATAAAAACATTTCTATAACATATTCTAAACACGTAAGGACCTTCTGTGAACTATCAAATGAGCTTCATTACATTCTATATACATCTACAGGACATCCAAATCCGAAGTCCTAAAATGTCTGTTTGTAATCCTTGGGATCTATTTTTGGATTTTTCTAATATTTTAAGCCTGCAATTAGGTGTCGTTTCATTTAATACTTAAAAATTTAATCATGATCTCTATATATCTTAGTTTATGTAAACTTAGACATGTTATAATTATTTGTATTGAGTTTTTGTACTTTGTGCGAGATATGATTGTATTTTTTGCTGCAACAAAGCAATGAATCTAATATTTTGTAAAATATTTCAATTTTTCAAATTCAGCACACTCTGCCCGAAAGATATCTTGCGATTGTCGTTTAAGACGTATTTAGGACCCTTGAAGACCTATGCTGTATGTGAAGTAATAGAATTGTCTCAAGGATCACGAAATGTACATATTTACGATTTTGAATTTGGACGTCCAATAAATGTGTATAGAACATAATGAGGCGCTTATTTCATAATTCAGAAGACGTCCTCAGGACGTCTTATAAATGTCCGATTTAGCTGGCAAAACATCCTTATGCTATTAGGGATAATATAACAATAATTACTTGGTTTTCCATAAAAAATTACTTCATCTTGATAGGACTCAAATTTAAAGAGCATTTTCATCAATTTATCTGCATCATATTCAGATTTTCTTATGCAATTTATAAAAAGACCTGCAACATAACAAAATCTTTTAATTGGCTTACATATGTTACGTATTTTATATACATACATTTATAATATCTATTAGCTGTATTAATGTTCTACAATTAACTACCTCTTTTCTTTGATAGTATCTATATTTTTGTAATGTTCTTAAGATTTTACTAATTTTTTTATTATTATTTTTATGTTTTAATGTTTTATACGTATGACATTTATAAATATCAATTCTTTTATAATTACGAAAAATGTATAATGCATTTATGATCGTACATAGTTTTCTTTAGTAAATTTTGAACAGGGAGTTGACTCTCTCTTGAATCAAGAGTCTTGACTTCTCAGTCAATATGTAGTCCACTTTTAATTACTTCGTATTGTTTGGGATATTTTATCATAATAATATTAATAGAGAATTTTTCTTTTCTCTTCTCGAAAAAAAAAATAGAAAGTTAGTCCTGAATTGTATGCATAATAAACAAAACTGTTACAAAATCGCACAAGATTCACGTGAAAAAAACCAAGAATTAAGCATCTTTTTTCGGATACAATATTTCTCTAATTATACATACCCCCATATTTCTTCTTTAAAGTTTTTCCGACGCGACGCAAAATAATACGTCTTTCTTCTAAATACGGAAGGATAATTTCATCATCTCCTCGAAAAATGTATTTCATCTCCGTCGATGCAATGGTCATGTAATAATTGGGATCCCAAATTAATTTATTATCCTATTTCAAAAATATATGTTACATAATTAAGAGATTGCTAGAGATATAGATTTGTTTAAATAATTATAGAAAAACACAGTGTGATATATTATACTGTGACATGCGTGTGTATATATATATATA